GCCACAGAGACCCACAGCTGTGAGAGATGTGTTTACCTGGGCAGATGCCGCTGAAGGAGGCGCCAGCATCTCTGGCCTTGCCTCCCCTCCCTGCTCTGCCCACCTTGGCCCAACAGGCCTGGCTCTCTTCTACCTGAGCATGCTCAGACACCTCCACAGGGACAGTCCTATGAGCCTGACAAGGAGTCACAGGGCCTGATCCCTATTTCCTCAGACTGTCCATCCACCCCTCTGTCCACCCATTTATGAGTCTATCCCTCTTTCCACCTATCTCTCTAGTCATCTGTCCATCCATCCATCCATCTGTCCGTCCATCCTTCCCAACCCCAAGCACGATCTCTCTGGTTTCCTTTGCTCTCCTTTCTCACCCTCAGTTTCACCATCATGGACCAGAAACACAGAAATAAGAACAGAAATGAGAAAATCCAGAAGTCCCAGAGGTAACAGCCAAGGTCCAAAGAGGTGGCTGTGACCATGGGTGGTCTCAAAGAACAAGGCACTCCTGGGAAATTTTCAAGGGTGGGCAAAGACGCCCCTCTCTCCACCATTGATTCAACTTAGAGGTGACCCACAAGGGTCGGAGGAAGCAGCCCCTGATCCTCAGGCACATTCTCCAATGGCATCCAGACAGGCACTGAGGTACAGACAGACCAGGAGAGACGGGATGGGGGGACCGGGCCCTGAGGGTGACAGCTCTGGCCATCCTCTGCATCTGAGAAGTAGCAATAGCTCACATGTGTCATGCATTACCACTACTCCATAGTGGCTTGGGTCCTTCACCTGTCACAGGGAGTTGTTCACGTCAACATGCATCCTGGAGAACGTAACATAAGATACTCCAGAGGGCAGGAAGATGGAACAGTGCCAGCTCCACAGACTGCCCCATTAACATGGGAGATGTGTCCTCAGGCCTCCTCGATGCCCACCTGCTAATGCTCAAAGCTCTGCAGGGCAGGGCAGGAGGAGGGGATGACACTGGATGGTCAATCTGCAGTGACAGTCAGGAGCTGGGAGCCCAAAGGTGGCAGAGAGATAACATCGGTCTGTCTTGTTTGTACCCGTATCCTCCACCTGCCTGGTTTTAATTATTTGTGGGGTGAATGTAGCTGACAGATAAGCACCACTCCACCCCATCCCCCGCCTGGCCCAATGGGCAGCCTGTGCTATCCTGGACTCATGCAAGAGCAGGGCCCCACCCTCCTGGGGGCAAGTCCCACACGGATAGAACGGGCCACTCTCTGTGTCCCTTTTGGGCACCCTTCTTGGTGAAGTCTCTCATTTGGGTTTCTAATTTAGGGAGTATGGCAGCTCAAGATGCCTTTTTTAAAAATAAAAATAGTTTTCGTTGCCGATAGTGCTCGCGCAAACATGGTGAATGTTCCTAAAACCCGCTGGACTTTCTGTAAGAAGTGTGGCTAGCACCAGCCCCACAAAGTGACACAGTACAAAAAGGGCAAGGACTGTCTCTATGCCCAGGGAAAGTGCATTATGACAGGAAGCAGAGTGGCTATGGTGGGCAGACTAAGCCGATTTTCCAGAAAAAGGCTAAAACTACAAAGAAGATTGAGGCTTGAGTGTGTGGAGCCCAACTGCAGATCTAAGAGAATGCTAGCTATTAAGAGATGCAAGCATTTTGAACTGGGAGGAGATAAGAGGAAGGGTCAAGTGAGACAGTTCTAATCATCTTTTATTTTATCATGAAGACAATAAAATCTTGAGATTATGGTCACTTCAAAAATAAATAAATAAATAAAAATAAAACAAGCACAAGTACATTTTAAAAGACCAAACAGAATTTTAATTTCTGGCCTCAGCTTAGCCTTGGAAGTCCCTGACCTGGCATCTCTCAGCCTCCCCCAGCCTCCCCAACATCCCAGGCCTGCTGTCTTGGCACCAGCTACAGGGGCCTCCCCGGGCACCTCAAGCTTGCCCATTTTGTTCCTGCCTCAGGACCTTTGCACTTGCCATTCTTTTGGACTGAGACACATTTGGGTTCTAGAACCATAAAGTTCACTCCCTGATTTTCTCAGCTTTCTATTAAATGTCACATCCATGTCACTTCGTCTAAAGTAGCTCCACCTGTTACCTAGATTTCTGTCTTAAGGACACATGATACTGCATCACATATTCAAGCTGGTGACTCTGTATTTCCCACTAGAATGCCGGTTCCCTGAGGCTAGAGATCTTGAACATCTTGTTCACTGCTGTGCCCCCCATAGCTCTAAATAGTGTGTAGCATACAGTAGGTGCTCAATAATTGTTGGTGGTACCGATGACTGACTCCTATATGCTCATTTGGTTTGGGAGTCATCAGGAATGCTTCCAGCTATGTGTCAGCAATTCATTCCTACTCAGACTGGGCTCCAATGCCTCTTACGTATTGGGGGGCAAACTGATAGCCAGCCCCTGCCCAGACCCCTTGCCCAGATGGGGGATGGTCCTGAAGGCAAGTCCAGCTTAGCAGAACAAAGTAGGAGAACAATTTGATGAGGTAAAGCATGAACCGATTTAACACACACATCCAGGGCAATAAAGAGAGTGACAAAGTATAGAGGACTCTCCAGTGGCTAGGGTTCGGGGACAGAATTGGAGCCTACCTCCCTAGCTGAGGCACAGGCCACCAACTTTGATCAACAAGGCAGCGTCAGCCACTGGGTGTCAGAACAACAATACCCACACCCAGCACAAAGCAGCCTAAGACCCAGACCCCTTGTCTCCAGAGCAGACCTGGTACTTACCACCAGCCCCTTCCTTGAGCATTTTAAACCATCAGCCCCAAGACACAAGGGCTGTGTCTCTTTCTCCTGAGATAAGCAACATCGGCAGTCAAAGTGTTGCCACATCTGCACCTGGAAAGGGCTCTCAGGTGGGGACAGACAGATGGATGAGCAGAGTGCTACTAAACTCCAGATTAGCCAAGTTTCCAACAGGGGGGCAGAGGTGGGGTGCCCTATGTGGTAGGTAATGGGGCAGGTGGGCACAGCTGCAATGGCAGGCCCCAAGCTGAGAAGAGGTTGCCCTTGGCAACCACTTCTTCTCTTTTTATTAAAAGCAGTTATCTCAGACCCTGTAGGTACACAATTTGTCTTTTTATTTAAAAAGAAAGCCCATAGGTAGTTAATTAGCTGCACAGTGAAAAGCAGGATAATATAAAGTTCAAGGGCAGATTCTGGGGCCAGATTCCCCAGGTTCTATCCCAGCACAACCGCTTACTGGCTGGGCAACTTAGGGCAAGTCGCTAAGCTTCTCTGCGCCTCGGCTTACCCTTCTGGAAAACAGGGACAACAAGAGCACACACTTCATAGGAATATTGTGAAAATTCAATGAGTTGATGTAAATAAAGGGCTGGGGACGCCAGGTTATCAATACCCATAGGAAAACCACCACAGGTTTGGCTTTTAAGCCAAATTAAAAGTTCAAGGCAGCCCAGTTCCATGCCTGGCATCTACTTAGCAGGAAAGGGGAAAAATAAAGTCAAAGAGAACAGCCAAGACAAGGAAGTCAGGCACGCTGTTCTTGTGGCAGCCACAGGCTGGCCTGCACAGCAGAGAAAGCATCCAGAAAACTCTTTAAGGAGGCTTCTGGGTCATGGAAAGACTCAAAGAAAAGGCTGGTTCCCTGTCCCTTTTCTCTGAGCCCTACTGTGTAAGACCCACAGGGACGTACTCCCAACACACACAGCCCAAGTACGCAACTGTGCCAAGTTCCAGCACTCCTGCAGGAAGACTGGCCCATTCAGACAGCAAGATCAGGTTCACTGCAAACAGGCTTGGTCACTTCTATCAACTCCTGGAAGTCCTGAGTAGCTTGTCAAGCCCCCCAAGTCCCAAAAAGGAAACCAAAGTTCAAATTCACTGCCTGATTTGCTTTAAGATAGTGGTCCCCAAACGATGCTGTACAAACAGAATTACCCCAAGGCATTTAAAACATCCTGGTGCCCAAGTTGAACTCTATCAACTCCATGAGAATTTCAGGGGTCAGGGTTTTTTTTTTTAAGATTCCACAACTGATTTCACTGGGCAGCCAAGCTTGGGACTCGCCAGACTAAAAAACAAGTGAAATTCATGCCTTTAGGCTTGACACAGGGGAATGATTCCTTTCTTCTGGGGAGAGGACCATTTTCAGCTGGGGGAGGCATATTTTTGCCCTGTGAGGTGCCAGGAGTGCATCCCTGGGGCCCAGGGAAAGTGGAGCCAACTAGATACTCACTCCAGCAGAAAAGATGTGCAGGCTAACATTGAGCTGGCCAGAGCACCGGCAGGAATGGGGAAATGCCACTGGGATTGCTAGCAACCTCCACTCATTTCAACTTGTCATTTCCTCAAGTCACCAAGGCACATGCTGCCCACACTGCCCCCCAGCCTGTCAGGCTCAGTCCAGGTGCCAAGCTGGATCCCTCCTGGAATCCACCCCTATCTTGCCGGAGTCTGGCAGGAGACAAAACTCCTGAGTTTCCTGACCTGGGGCTCCAGCCTCCCCCCGCCCGCCTCAGCTCCACGTCAACATCCCTTAACATCCAGGGAAGCAAGGGTTCCTGTCTGGGTTTGTTTTAGAAAAAGAAAGAAAGAAAAAGGCTTTCACACTGGCGGCTCTGAGACCATAAGCAGGGAACTGAGTCAGGAACAGCAAAAGGACCCGGACACAGATGTCTGCAACATGCTCGGACCTCTGGGCTCAAGCCCACGTAGTGAGCGGCCAACTTCTTTGGGAATTTCGGACACTGTTCTTTATCCCTGCCTGGCTAGGCCCCCTATACTGTTGACAGTAAGAAAGTCCCTCTGAAGAGAGGCCCGCCAAGGAGGGGTCTGCAAATGCCGGGTCAGACTGGACCACCCCCACCTACACACCCTGGTCCCCACCTGAGGAGCATGGCCACCGCGGGGGTAGGAAGGGAGGACGCCGGTTCCCGGTTTCTGCAGGGGCGCGTCTGGGAGCGCGGCGGCCACAGCCTCGCCCACCCGCCCCCTCACTCCAGTTTTGGCGCAGGGACGAGTCCTTACCGCTCTGACCTCGCTGGGTCCCGGGGGCTCCGAAGAGGCGCCGGCGCCCCCAGCGCGCGTGTCGAGGATGCCAGGCGCCAGCGAGTAGAAGGGCGGGCTAGGGCTGGGGCTGGGGGGCAGCCCGGAGTCGGGGCTGTCCAGCAAGCCCTCCCGGCCCTGCTCCTTGGGACTGTCCTCCATGCCCTGCAGATGCAGGTGGCCCACCATGTCTGGGGGGCGCGGGGCGCGGGCCCCGGGCTCCTCGGTGGCCTCCTCCACCGCGCTCCCGGGCCCGGGGCAGGCGGCGGCGGGGCAAAGGCTGCGCGCCTGGCAACCTGCGGGCGCAGCGAGAAGCGGCGATCAG